GGGTGTATTTGCTCTGGTAAGAGGATGAAATACTTTAAAGTCCCAAACATGCTAACTTGGCATTACCTCTTGACCAGGTCTAAAAATGTTGTTCATATTGAGACACTGAGCTTGATGCCACAGTCCTGTGGTCCCAGCTAAAGGCAGTGGGGGGACAGAGGGTCCAATACATGCATGCCTTTATCACAGGGGAGGAATCCTATATGATCTTATCACAGCTGCTTCTCCCCTCAAACTTCTGCTCTTCTTGCTTTCTTTTCCTTTTATTTCATTTTATTTTATTTTATTTTATTTTATTTTATTTTATTTTATTTTATTTTATATTTGTGGGTATTTTGGCTACATGTATGTATGTACACCGTGTGTGTATGTGCAGTACCGAAGGATGCCAGGTCCTCTGGAACTGAAGTGATGGACGATTGTTAGCTGCTGTGTAGGTGCTGGGAATTGAACCCAGGTCCTCTGGAAGAGTTCTTAACCTATGAGATGTCTTCCAAGCCCTTCCCCTATTTCTTTAGTCCCATCAAGTTCTTCACAATATCTGCACACACATACATACACACACACCACACCATACAGCACACCATGGATGAAATCATCTCACAAAGCCAATTTTTACCTGTTAGGATTGCATTTGTACAAAAAAAAAAAAGTCAAAAGCCAATTTTCTGGTAGCCTAAGAAGAGTGAGCTATTTCCAGAACATGGATTCATAATAGACTTGATCATACATGAGCTGATATTGGACAATATGAAACAGCACAGTCAGCTGAAAAATTACAATTCCCATTCTCAGCCCAGGCCCACCCAGGCCCAGGCCAGCCCCAGATAAAATCATGCCTGGCTTCATATGGTTACTCACAACTATAATCCTAGCACTTGGGAGACTGAGAGAGGATGATCTTGAATTTGAGAGTAACCTGGGCTACTTAGCAAGACTGTCTCAAAAACAAAGTCATTCCTGAACATGCCTGTTATGAGGACCTTTCATGACAGACAGGCCAACCCAGTGCCCTTTCTTTTGGGATCTTCATGGTAACACACTAGCAGCCCAGCTCACTGTCTTCCACTGGGTTAGTTATAAAGACCCAGACCCCACCTGCCCCAAATCCTCGTCACTTCCAGATCTCACTTAAAGGCCGACTGGGTGGTGAGCCGGAAATGTGGCCCACATACACCTCTTCTAACCCACCCTCGGCACCACCTTCCAGTCTCCACAGAGAGATTACACAGGGTCCAGCACCCTTCTCCTCTCCTCCTACCCCTCCTCTCTGGATCCGCTGTACAAATACAAGACTCACTGCCAAGACATGAGAACAGTAAATCTTTGCTCGTTCTTTTATTCATGTCCTCGCCTCTGCAGACAGTGCTGAGAAAAACAAACCCACAAAAATCCCTGTGGGCCCCAGCAGACTCAGAGCCTCTTCTTCCTTCCCTCTGATTATCTCTAGAAGACATGGGGAGGGGTCTGTCTGGTTCCTATGAAGACACAAGTCCCTTCTTCCTCCTCCTTAGGGCCAGACCAAGGGAAATGGGAAGAAGGGAAGTGTTTGTAGTCTTTATGCAGAAAGAAAGTTCATTCCGCTGTCTTGGGGGAGTCCCAGAGCCTGGGGTATCATGGAGTGATCTGGGGAGTGCCTGTATTGTCAGGTCAAAGTCTCACTTATCCTTAAACACTTTGCGTTGGGACACAAATATTGATGAGAAGTGGCTGGGGTGAGATGTCTCTACAATCATTTGTCTGGCACCTTATGTTCCCCAAACCCGAGGTCTGGGGTCTTGAGGTGCCATGAAGCTTTCCCCTCTCTGCTTCCCCAGGAGTTGCCAGATGATGAAAGGACCTAAGAGCCACTAATCACACTGTACCCTGGCCCAAGAAGAAGGAAGCAAAGCCCTGAGAGTAGAGCCCAATCAGCACTGTTTACTGTGTCTGACAGAGCAGTAGATCTGAGCTGCTGCTGAGACACTGGAGGAAGCCAAAGATGGGCAGCCATGAAGGGATAAGAAGGTCAGTCATAAGCACATGACAGCAGAAGGCAGAGGGTAGGAAAACAGGAGGCCCAGCTGGCAGGCCTTTCTGGCAGCTAGGGTTTTGTTTTATTTCTACTTTTCTTCCATTGCAGACAAGCCTGATGTTTTCACAAAGGAAAGGCAGGGAAGGGTCTGCAGATGTCTCTGGGGAAGGGCAGAGCTCCCCCATGGTTCTCAGAAACCATTCTAGAAAAGTAAGAGCCAAAGAAAGTGTGGCAGGGGAGAGACACCTGCATGTCATGGCGCCCTTGAGAGGACACAAACATGAGGAAGTAGATGGAGAACTCCTTCCTATCGAGGTGGCCAGGAGCTGCTTTCTTAAGGAGACCCCGAAGCCATGCCCAGGTAGGATGCTTATCCCTGAGGTGCGGGGCACAGGTTCCCTGATCTAGTCAACAGTAAGCCCTGGTGTTCCCTTAGCAATTACCACTTCCCCATCCACCCTCATGCCTGGCTGGTCACTAATAATTTATTGCAAATAAGCCTCAGTGCTCCAAAAAGAGAGTCGGCTTTTCTACCTCTGAATTCCCTATAGACCTTAACGCAGCTGGGCTCTCAGATGGGCCTCATTACTCCCTCGCTGGACTTGAATTGTCTTTTCTTGCATCACCTCCACCCAGCACCCTAGCAAAGGGAGCTGGCACAGGCTGCTCACTTCTCTTTCTTTCCCAAAAAAGATGCTAATGAAGGAGAGTCAGAGCTTCCAAATCCGCAGATAGGACCCACAGCCTGATGAAAGCCTCCAGAGTTTCTGTCGGCAAGCAGGGACTATCAGCAAACTCACTCTGTAGCGTGTTTCTCCTAGTTCTCCTGTGCAAAATGGCCATTTGTAGGATTTTAAGTCAGACCTTGAATTCAGGGGTTACAAAGGTCTCTGGCAAGAGCCTTTCATGTGTGTATGTATGCACACAGAGATAGGCGTAATTGTTCATGTGTGCGCGTAGAGACCAGAGGTTGAGATCAGATGTTCTCCTCAATAGTTCTTCTCCTTGTTCTTTTTAATCAAGGCCTCTTACGTACCTGGAGCTCACTGGTTAGGCTAGACTGATGTGCCAACAAACCCTAGAGACCCTACCTCCTTCCCAGTACAGTACGTGCCTCCTCACTCTGCTTTTAAAGTGGGAAATAGAGATTAAACTGGGGTCCTCATATTTGTATGACAAGCCCTTTGCCAACATCAGGCAGCTCAGAAATACTGTCACTCCAACGCCAAGAGATCCAGTGTCCTTTTCTGGTATCTGTGGATGTATGCACACATACACACACACACACACACACACACACACACACACACAAACACACACACCACCACCACCACCATCATCATCATCAACCTTTTAAAATTACAGGTACCATAGTGTACATGTAGAGATGGATAATTTGGGGGAGTCACTTCGCTCCTTCTACCATGTGGCTTCCAGGGATCAAACACAAACCATAAGGCTTAGTATTAAGAGCCATCTTGCTAGCCCCTGGGTTGTTGTAGGTAGGCCGCTGACTAGGTTAGATGATGTGATAAAATCCTTTCCAGCTCTATACTTCTGTGCAGTGTTAGACCATTTCACTCAACCATGTGTGAGATGAGGATGTGGGTTGGTGGCTAAAGGACCCAAACTCACATCCTAGTTCTCTGCTGCTTAGGAACTAGGTATTCTTAAAGGGGTCACTACATCTTTCTGAGCCAATCTTGTCTGCGGAAGAGAGTGGATAAAATAATATCTTAACCACATGGGTGCTGTGAGATTTTCTAAACTGCCAAGGACTGCCCACATGTCATTGATAACTGGAAGGCCGTGGCGGCTATAATAATAATAACTATTTCCCTTTAACCAAATGTCTGTGGCTGTCATAGGATTTTGGATTTGTTTTTAACTCCTCCCTTCCCAGGGAAACCTTCTGCCCCCTCACTGCCTCCTTAGGGGAGGAGCCAGGTAGAAAATGCTGGGTGCAGGCTGGAGGCTGGAGGCATTTTGCCACCAGAACTCTCTTTGCGTGGGCAATGTGAGAACTGACACTCAGCAACCTTTTTCTGCAGGTGATGAAGCCAAGAGCACATTGAGGCCTTTGTGTTGCGGTGCGCTGCGTGTAAAGAATGAAGAGAGACCCCTCCAGCACAAGGAATTGCTCAGATAAACCCTCAAAAAATATGCAGATAAACTCACAAAGTTCTTCCTACTTCTCATTGCTAATTGAATTTCCTTAGGTAATCACCACTAAAGATTCATTGAGGTTTTTTGGAAACAAGATAGCCATTGCATTTTAATTGCTAGAGATCAGCAAGTGGGGAAGAGTCTTCCCCGGGAAAATGCTAACTGGGAATAAACTCAGGAAGTGATGTCCCCAAGATGAAAAGTTTAGTTCCCTCCCCCCGCCAAAAAAAAAAAGAGTTAAGGGGAAAAGCTGAACCTTGTGGGGAGGCCAGCCTTCCCTAGGAACACTGATTTCAGTGGTACCCAAACTCAAAGCCTCAGAGCCCCTGGACAGTTGGACTCTTTGCTGCAGATGGTGACATATATGTTTCGCTAACTTAAACAATTGAATAGTTAAGAACATGCCAAAATCCCAGAGTTGATGAGTCGGGGTCAGTATCTAAGTTTCAAGAAACACATATAGGAGGGAAACTGTATTTCTGTCCAGTAACACGTGTGACAGTGAAGGCTAATGTTCACTGTCAAGCCTACTGGATTTTAAGTCACCTCGGAGACACACCTCTAGGCACGCCTGTAAGAAAGCCTCCTGAGAGGTGTAACTGGGACCTGCCCTGAATGCACTGTGCACTGGCTGAGGTCTGAGACAAAAGCACCAACATCATCTCTCCTTGCTTCTTGACACAGTAGGACCTCACACTCCTCAGCACAGTGGACTGTATCTTTTGTCTCTGAGCCAAAATAAGTTCCTTTGGTTGTGTGTTTTGTCACATTAGCTAGTACAAACAAGAAGGAACTCAACCAAGATTATACATAATCTCCATTTAATAACAAAACTCTTGCAACCAATTTACAGAACTGTCATTTGAAAAATGGCATCCTAGCCCAACTCCATCTTTCTTACCTTGTAGACTCCTGCCTATTTCAGGGCTATGAGAGTTAGCTCAGAACAGGAACAGTGGGTACACAGAAAGAGAACCTTGACTTTTATTTTTTTTTACCTGAGCTGGTCCAGCCTTAACCTTATCTGCCCAGGAACCCTTGAGACAGGGCATCGTCTAGAGTGTGGCCCCTGGAGAAAGCAGGGTTAAGGGCACCTCCAGCATTTTCCTAGCAGATGTACATAGGATGTGTGGAAGGCGGAGGGAAAGTCCCAGATGCTCCCAGAAGCCTCTTCTGTCTTTCGTGCTCTTATCCCTTCCTCTTGCCATCATTCCCAATCCAGCCTCAGCCTCTTTCCTGTTGTGGAGGCTCTCAGATGGAAAGAGGAACTGAAAGGCAGAGCCTTAGGGGAGAGGCCCGGTGACCCGGCTGCAGGCCCTCGGTCTGGGATGATCCATGGGAGATCCACAGTTCTGCATCAGACACGGCAACTGCTTCTCCTGCAGCTAGCGGACCTGCGATGGAGCCAAGAAACATGGGCTGCTGTGTAATAAGGCTGAAAAAAAACATCATCACCTGCAGCAAGGAGTCACAGTGTGGCTCTACCTCAGGTCAGCCAGGTGACTTTTTTTTTTTCCTTGAGACGAGATCTCATGGACCCCGGACTGATCTGGAACTCTAGCCAAAGATGACATTAAACTTCAAATCTTCCTGTCTCCATCTTTTGGGTATCTAGAATATACATGTGTACCACCATGCCTCGTTTATGAAATGTTTATGAGGCTCAAGCCCAGGACCTCTTGAATGCTAGCCAAGCACTCTCCCAACTACATCCCTAGTCCCCTCAGGTGAGTTTATATTAGCACATCACATTAAGAAGGTAGACTTCTTTCTGTCAAATGAATCAACATATCTGCTGATCTATGTTTTTTAATATAAAAATTGAATATAGATTCACACCCCATAAGCTCTAGGGTGTACTGTGTACCAATGGCTCTTCATCCAGCCTTGGGGAAAGATGCTATCCATCACCACAGCTTGTGAGAGACTGCTTAACACGAATGCTGTGCTTTTTCCAACTTTGTGTGGCGTGTTGGGCGTGAGGGTAATTATGAGTGCAGGTGTAGAAGTCAGAGGACGACCTCAGGTGCCAGTCTGAGACATACTCTCTTGTTGGCTGCCGAGTACACCAGGCGACAGCCTGTCTTTGCCTCCCATCTTACTATAGGAGTAGATATACAGACTATATCCTTCTATGACATCTCCCCCCAACATTACATGGGTCCTGGGGGTTCAAATTCCTTACACTTACATGGCAAGTCTTTACCCACCTTGCCATGCGCCCAGCCACATCTATGCTTTGATATGCACTGTCACACTCAGTCTTCTCTCTATACAGATTCATGCAAGGCTTTGAGTGCCCAGTGCTGATCCCTCTCTGTAAAGCATGGAATGCAGCTGCTAGTAACTGCTTTAGGGGCCAGGAATGAATGATGCTGGAATGGATAATAGATCAGTTACACTGTGGTTTACCCACTCCAAGCCTAGCCAAGCTCTGCACAAGTTCTACCTCTTTTAATCACTGCAAAAGAATAAAACACAGCCAGGATGGTTATGACCAGAAATCTTAGGCTTACCAAGGAAGGGTATGAACTTGCCAAAGGCCACCCACAAAAGGCAGATCTAGGTCACAGACTCAGTCTACCCTTTCCTAGCTAGTGCTTAAATTGCTAGACACCCAGTGAATTCGTGTTGTAAGTGTCCGTTCTTTCTCCTCCCTCTCTGGCAAACATTCCCAAACCCCATTTCCACCCCTTAGAAGGTCCCCCAGCATCCTGGGGTAGGTCCTTCAGAAACTTGGGCTGCTCTCCTGCCCCACACTCACCTGCACAGTGTCATGGATCCAATCCAGGAACTCTGCTACTTTGGCATAGACACCTGGGTGATTGGGCTCCGCACAGCCACGACCCCAGCTGACCACCCCTACAAGATGCCACGTGTCACCACTGGGACACACCAGGGGTCCCCCGCTGTCCCCCTGAGGAATCCAGGAATGAAGACACAAAGAAACAAAAATCAGACCTGTTGATGAAGCAGCACCAGTCAACCATGGGGAATGAATTCCCCTAGGGGAGGGGAAGGCCACTGCTTCTTGACATCATCCCTGCTGGCTTCACCTTCCATAAGATCATAGTATAAACTCCCTAGAGAGGCTGGCTTTCCAAATCCACGTGCGCTAACCCAGGGACCAAGCTGCCCCCTCTTCCCACCACCAGCAGGTCCCCTGCTCCTCCCTCCACTGCCAGCTACACCTGGCATGCATCTGCTCTTCCATCCAGGTAGCCGGCACACAGCATGCGGTGTGTTAGCGCCCCACTGTACATGCATGAGCTGTTGCAGAGGTGGGTGCTGACCAGGGGTACCACTGTGTCCTGCAGCGTATCTGAGCTGTGAGCTGTAGGAGACACAGAGAAAAGCTGCAGGGTACCACAGGGGCAGAACATCAAGAAGAAGAGTCAGGGGTCCTGAGGACACAAAGACTTAAAAAAGGAGGCTCAGGCAGAGCTGTGGACCCGGGCTAAAGGACAAGAGTCTGCTGGATGTCCAGCTGGAAATGAGGAGACCAAGCGAAAGATACAATATGCCGAATGCTTAGGTCATAATGCTCCTGGGACCAAGAGCAGGGGAGTGAAAGGGCCCAGGCTTAGGGAAAATGTTTACCAGTTGTTCTGCACAGGAACAGGCAGGAGAGACTAACTACCCAGGACTCACCAAGAGAGGAAAAGAAGTATCATTGTCAGATAACCAGGGGAGGGGGTCCTGTTCCCGTTTAGAAGATGCCTCTCCCTCCCCACTTTATGCCGAGGACCCTGGAAGCTCACTCACTGTGGCTGGGGTCGGTGTGGCCCCAGCCAGACACCCAGCACTGCGACCCTCTTGGAAAGTGCTGCTCCTTGGCCGGCAAGCACACAGCGCCCACGGTGTCTGTGGAGAGGCACATAGTTCTGCTCCTGGCTCAGGATGGGCTTCTCTCCTGCAGAGCCTGGGTGAAGAGCTCCCCCATCTCCTTCTCAACAGCGCTGGCACCTGGCCTCTACCACCAAGCTTACTAGTCAGAGATAGATAGGTTGAGCAATGTCCCACCTTGGGGTTGGGGGGAGTTGAAAGTATGGTATCCCCTAGAGGGGGGCAGTGTATTTGCTGCTCTGCCCTCGCCTTAGGAAAGAATGGAAATTTGTCTGACACTGAATACCAAATTGTAAGGAGACCCATTTGTCCTTTTCTACAGAGTGTCTGAGCCTTCTTGAGGCTTTATTTCCAGAATTCTGTGACATATTCTATGAGTGGACTCAAACATGATTTTAATTCATACACTGACATTCCATGACATAAACATGCTTTCTTCTAACTGCATCAAGGAGGAAGACTCTGTTTGGAGCTGGTCCACACCTCTCATAATGTTGTCCATTTCCAACCTAACTACAAGAAGACAGGCCCCAGCCCCGCAACTTCTACAGAAGGCACTAGCAACCTATAATTTTTAATACTGCTTTGTTTTCAAATTACAGATCTGTGTATGTGAATTCATGAGTGTGTGCACGTAGGATGTGAGTATGTGCATGTGTGCATGTTTCTGTGGATTTATGCATTTTTTGAGAAGGTATGTCAGAGAATGCAAGAAGGTAGTTGCTGGGACAGCTGCAGTCTGGGAAGGGCCACCCTTGTTGGGGAAGAGGAACCCTGGTCCTGGGCTGAGGGGTCTATCTATCTTTTTTCTAAACTTTAGTGTTCTTGTCTGTGTATACTTTCTTCAACATAATTGTTACATGGATTGAGGGAGAAAGGGGATCTTTTAAAGGCCAGCTATTGATGGAGAAGGCAGGAGTGAAGTTCTGTTTGGGACATCAAAGCAAATGCCACCTGTGGCCTCATGAAAAAAGCCTGAATCTCTGTCCTCCAAAGAGCAGTATAACTTATTACAACCCAGTCTTGGAAGAATGCATGCACCCTACCATTCCCAAAGAACTGAGGGGCTTAAGATTTGCAGGGCTACAGGAAGCCTTAGGAATCAGCTTACCCGTCCTCCCACCAGTCTCTGCTCCTAGGTCACCACTGCACCCAGCTGCTCATTCCAAGGCCAGATCCTCACCTGAGAAGTTGAGTGGTGTCCGGAGCTGCAGGAGAGCCACGTCATAGTCATGGTTCTGGGCGCTGTATAAGGGGTGGGGAATGATCTTCTCCACCATGGTTCCCTGGTGTTGACGGACAGCACTGTGGCTGACGAGCCCTGCATGAACCCGCCAGCTGGATAGGCGGGACAGCCTGAAACTGCACATAGAAACCCACTGAGCCAGGGAGGAAGGGGCAGGGAAGGTTGACCCACGTAAGGCGGTGGGTGGAGGGAACTTTCTATGGAAACCATTAGTGGCCACTGTCACAGACCTGTTAGCTCCTAGGACCACAAAAGCATGTGGTCCCTTAATATTATACTCAGCTGACAAGACACTGGGAATGCAGCAGTTGCCCAGATCCTGGACTAAAAAATATAGTTCAGCCAACAAGTGCTTTCTCTACGCAAGCATGAGGAGCTGAGTGCAGATCTCCAACACCCACATGAAAACCCAGGCATGGGTGTGTATGTCTAGAATATAACACTAGGGAGGCAGAGATGGGTAGATCCCTGGTGCTTGCTGGCCTGCCCACATACCCACACACAGTCACAGACACAGATGACACATAATTTAAAATAAAATAAATCTCTAAAAGCATAAGGTGGAAAGCAATTGAAGAAATCACTTGGCCTCTACATGCACATACGTACACATACACACAGCAGTTATTGCTACTATTCATGCAGAACTGAACTCGGCACTGAACAAGGACATCCCTCCCCTACTTGGAGACAGCTGGACACAGACATTTTATTCAGGACCTACCAAGAGACAAACAGAAAAGGTGTGACTGACCGATCTGCCATCCACCCACAACACTTACCTGTACATGCAGTGGGCAGCAGTCACTACCCAGTGGGGTGCCAGCACAGAGCCCCCACACGTGTGCCGGGAGCCAAGCATCACGCTCGCTTGCCATGGCCAGCGCCCAGAAGCCACAGTCTGTCCGCCAACTATTCGAGAGGCCAGAGGCCTTGCCCCACACTCTGCAAACAGAAAAGGGTGAGGTAGAAAGAAGTGCAGAGGTCTGTGCAGACAGGTCCCATCTCTTATTCCTGATCAGAAGGAGGGGCAGGAAGATAAGGGTAGTGCTTTCTTCAGCCTACGCCCCTGACCATGTCTGTGGGGCCTGTGGAGCTCCAATGCCCACCACAGTGTACAAGTCAAAGTGTCCAGGCATAACAGGTGTGAGGAGGGACAGATAAATAGATGGACAGATGTGTGGGAAAGTGGGTGAAGGAGCCTGGTACAATGTTTATCATTTGGCTCTCATTCACCCCTAGTCTCTGGAAGCTGCTGACAGAGCTTGCATATTCGCAACCAGTAATAATGCCAGCTATGGGGCTCTTCAGAAGGAAGGGAGAGAGTACCAGTAGAGAGACTATCAGCCCAGCACAGTGGCTGATGGGACATGGTAGAGACTGCAAAGGACTCTGTTTGAGCAGGTTGTATCTGGGCCCTGCAAAGCAAGGAGCCCAGCAGAAAGATGGGCAGATAGACAAGGACGCTCCAACCCAACTCCAGGCACGCACCCACAGAAACTTGAGCTAGCCCCTCCATCCAGCTCTTCCACACTCAGGAGAACTGGAAGACTCTCTCCCTCCCACCAACTTCCTGGACACAGGATATGACTCACCAGAGCATTTGAGAGAAACAATTCGGCCAGAAGGACAGTTAGTGCTGCAAAACAGGGGTATCCTTAAGGAGCTGAGGAGTGCCACCCAAAGGCCACTGATACCCAGGGGTTTAGAGAGTGGTCAGGGGGTTCTCCACAGTTTTGTTTTGCTTTCTTGAGACATGTGGCCCAGGCTGGCCCCAAACTCACTCTGTAGCCAACGATGATTGTACACTCCTGATTTTTTTCCCACCACTTCCCAGGTAGCAGCTGTATAGGTATGAACCAGCACAGCCAGCCTATCTCCATAGCTCTTAAGGCCATCCTGTAGTCATGACCTTAAGACACCACCATTTTCACCAGTTTCTTCCCCTTCACAAACATTCAGGCCCATCCCAGGACAGCAGCCTGCCCATTCTGCCCCAGCAGCCAGAGGGAAACAGAAAGCCTTCACAATCCTGGAAGATCCACTTGGGTAAGGCCCATATTTACAACAGAGAATTGACAAATGAGAAAGCCCAGCTGTTTCCATGTGCTCTGAGTAAACAGGTGCTCAGTGGGTAAATGAATGGCTGTGGCGTGGATGAATGAATAGAGCCCCACACCCAGCCTCTTCCAGGCCCAATCTCTTCTCTGTCCCAGGCCCTTCTTTAGGGCCTGCATAGTCAGAGTCTTGTTCTCATGTTTCTTCCTGCCTCTTGCATAAGCCTCAACTCCCTTTTGACCCAACATCCTTGCCTTGCCCTTCCCATCTCTTTCCTCCTGCATCTCAATCCCTGGTCCACGTGGCTTCTGGTTTCCTAACCCTGTAGCCTTTCTGCCCTCCTGCAGAACTTGAGAATCTCACAGAGAGAAAAGGACAGCTGGATTGCTCTACCTTCAGTGCACTCCTAAGAATGAATATGGGAGGAGGGGGAGAGAAGGAGTTGTTGGAGACATGGCTCAGAGGTTAAGAGTACTGGCTGCTCTTCCAGAGGTCCAGAGTTCAATTCCCAGCAACCACATTGTGGCTTACAACCATCTATAACGAGATCTTGTACCCTCTTCTGGCATGCAGGTGTACATGCAGACAAAACATTGTATACATAATAAATAAATCTTTTTTAAAAACTGATGGAGCTGGGACTTGAGTGAACAGAGGAGCAAGTAGGCTGAGATAGCTTCAGATCAGGGCATCCACCTGCCCCCATCCTGAAGTTTGAAAGAGCCCAAAATGGGCAAAGACCTCTCAGCTTGTGCTGCCTAGGGTATGCTGAGAAGTTTGTTCTGTTTTGAGTTCCTTTCTTTTTGGACACTTGTCATTCGCTTTTCTCCTGAGATACCAGAATTAAAGCAAGCAAAGCATAGCCATGTGGGTCCCTCGACTTGGAGTCATGAGCCTGGTCCCAAGTGTGCATTGGCTGTTTATTGGTCTCACTGCCATGGATAAGACTGTCTAACCCTACTGAGCCTCAGTTTCCCTGCCTGTAAAAGTGGATTATGGTTTGAATACAAAATGACCCACCAAAAGCTCACAAGTAGAGTACCTGGTCCCCAATTCATGGCACTACCTTCAGAAGTTCTGGAAATTTTAAGCAGTGAAGCCTAGCTAGAGGAAGCAGGTAACCAGAGGTACATCCTTGAGACACGTATCTTCTCCTCCCCTTTCTGTCCACATGAGGTGAACAGCCTCCTCCTGTACCTATCTCTGTCACTATGATGCTCTGTCTTAGCACATGGAGCCAAGCAATCGTTGGCTGTAAAGCAAAGAGGTCTTTCTTCCTGTACATCGCCTTTCACGTGTATTTGGTCATAGCAACATTAAAAACAACACAGGGGAATAAGAGGACCATTCTAAATCCTGTTCCAGTAACTACCAACCTTGGGGGGAGTTGGAACTTAGTTTGGGGTTTTGGTTTGGGCTTTTTAGTTGGTTGGTTGGTTGGTTGGTTGGTTGGTTGGTTGGTTGGATGATTGAAAGGTTGGATGACTGGTTGGTTTTTGGTTGTTTTGGGATATGTTCCTGTATCCCAGGCTGACCTCAAACTTTCTTTACAGTTGTGATAACCTTTGTAATCCTTCTGCCTCTGCCTCTGCCTCCTGCTTAAAACTCAAGCAACAACACTGCACAGTTCATACAGTACTAGGGATTGAACCCAGGGCTTTGTGTATGCTAGGCAAGTACTTTATGACATCTGAGCTACATGCCCAGCTTTGCATTTCTTGTGTGGAATAAACAATATATGCCAGGGCATGTGGCCTGGGTTTGTGGCTTCTGGCTGGGAAAAGGTCTTCTCTGCTCTCATTACACTATCTATGCCCTCACCATCAGGATCCCCTGAAGGGGAATGCCCACCACTCACCTAACCCACAGAAGCCCTACCTGGGCTGCCATGCCTCCTCTAGTAGGCCTCCCAGGCTAGCAGAGAGCTGAGCAAATTCCTGCGATCTGTTGAGCTTAATGTCATGCAGATTCACTGCCTTGTGCTGAGCAAGCCTGGGCAGAGGAAGAGAAAGCAGGAGGAAGTCAGCTTCAAAGTGCAGCATGAGAGGGCTTGGAGGTGTCAAAGCAACACTGAGCATGAGGCAGATGCAGCAGCATTGCAAATGAACAAGATGGTGACTTCTGAAGGCATCCTCCCAAGCTCCAGTTCCCCCACAAGCCAACCAGGCCTCCTGCAAGTCTGGCTGTTACCTGAGGTGCCCAAGACTCTGGCAGATGCGCATCCCCAGGGCAGGGTTCCAGCCCCCATGGCAGACCAGGAGCCAGTCTGGCCGAGCCCGTACTTGCACTTCAAGCAGGAAATCCTCACCCTTTATTCTGAAAGATACTAAAACCACCAGGTGAAAACCCTCCTCCTGCCTGGCCAGGAAGGGACAAGAGGAGATAGACACACGGATCACCCCAGGTCAGCGTCCCTGCTCCCCCGGGTGCCTGATCAGTTCTAAAAACACAGAACACCTTTTTGTAGGCATTTCAGTTCTGTTTTGATCATGTGCTTTAACAAGGTGCTCTAAAGCAAGTGAGGTGACTCAGCAGATAAAGGCACTTGTCATCAAGCTTGACAACCTGGGTTGAACCCTGACAACCTATGAGATAGAGAACCAACAAATTGTCCTCTGACCCCCGCATTCATTCAATGGCAGATTCACACGCACATGGGCACACACACAAAGTAAATAAACAGGGTATTGGGTCACACTCTTTACCACAACGGCCTTACAAGAAGGCAGTTACCTCCCTCAGCAAAGGGAGTATCGAGGCACAGAGGGAAGGCAACTTGCCCAAGGCCATAGAATCAACAAGGGACCAGGACACAAGCCAAGCCTCCTGAATTCAAATATTGTCACAATAATACTTAATATTTATCAACTGCTTTTTTCCTCTTCTCTCTCTCTCTCTCTCTCTCTCTCTCTCTCTCTCTCACACACACACACACACACACACACTCCTCTATTGAAACTCCAATCCCTCAGTGTAACTGTGTTTGGAGATAGAGCCTTGAAGAAGGTAATTAAGAAAACAAAGAGGCTTGTCCTACAGCGTGCTCTCCTAGCATGCACATAGTCCCTGGCTTTGATTCCTAGTACTGTATAAACTGGGTGTAGTGGAATGTGCCAGTAATCCCTACACTCTGGAGACAGAAGCAGGAGGAGCCCACATTCAAGACCATCTTTGGCTTCATATTGAGTTAGAGGCTAGCTTGGAAACATTAGACCCTTTAAAGAGATGAGATGCAGTCACAGGGTGCTGGTCCAGTAGGGCCAGTGTCCTCATAGAAGATACCAGCTCATTCACTCTTTTCCTCCCCACCTCCCAGCAAACGTTATGGCTGGCCAGATGACTCCGATGACTGATACAAAGGCTCAGAACTAAGCTTCTTTTACATACTTGCATGCTTTCTTATTATAACTGCATGCAGTAAATATGTTTATTTCATTTCTGTTTTATACAGAAAGAAATAGAAGCTCAAAGAAATAACATACCCAAGGCCATACATCTGGCAAAAATGAGGAAACCCCAGATATGATCTAACTTCTGTAAGTCTTTCTAACCCCCAGCCTTTGGACAGCATTGTACTGTGTGAATCCCAACCCTTACCTGGAAGAAGGGACAGTGGAGACAGCCAGAAGACAATATGGAGTAATGTTCCCAGATGTCCGAGTGGCCCTATTGTTCACACACTGCCACTTCATAGCACTAGCTCCTCCTCCCCCACATCGCTAGCTCACACAACCACAAACGACAGGATTCCATCTCTTCTACTGGCCTGGCCTCCTCGCCACACTCCCAGCTAAAGATCAAGACACTCCTCAGAGAAGCCTACAGATCTTAAATCTGAGACCAATGTTGCCAGGAGGACTTTGTCACCACCCTCATCCCAGTAGAGGAAGAGGCAGATGGGTGGTAGCAAAATGCCGGTCCTTCCTTTTGGTCCTGAAGCTGTAAGGAGCCCTGAGCTGGGAGAAAGGCTCCTGTAGCTTTGAGGGCGTGGCCCACCTGTTTTGGGAAGAGATGGGAGAAGCTCTTCCTCACTGCTGACTCCTGGACAGCTCAGGGCCATCTCTTCCTCCTGCAACGTCCCTGAGATGGGTGGAGAGGCGGCTGGCCATAGATACAATACTTCAAGGAAGCACAGAGAGAGTCACAGAGAGGCGGGGGATGGGCAGGGAAATCCCCCAGAGAGACTCAAGGTGCTTAGCAAGTCCATACTACCTCCTAGAGATTCTCTATCAGTCACGTTGCCTAAAGACAGAACCCCATCAATCGATAAAAGGGGCACAGGACTGTCTGTCTTTCTCACTGGGAACGATTTCTAGGGGGAAAAAAACTGACTAAAATCATGGATCATCCACATAAGTGACAGGACTATAGGGACAGGCTGTTCCCACTATGACACTTAAATCCCTCCTATTCCATGGGTAATCCCTTCCCTGTCTTACTGTCTACACAGCACAGATGGGGGGGGGCTTGTCCATCTACATACAATGCCTGTTCAGGACCTGCTTCCATCTCCAAGCTTCCCCCAGATCCTGTCCTCCTCCCTTCTCCGGACAGAAGGACCCAGCACTGACCTATGAGCCATGAGCCAACACCTGCTCCAGCCAGCAGCCCCAGGGCTCCCAGGATCGCACAGCCACGTTGCAGGCAGCACCAGCGCTGGAACTGAGAGACTATAAGGGAAGCAGAGGGCTATTTTGGCTTCCTGCTTCTGCCAGAAAACTTTACTCAACCCTGAGACATCAGTAAGTTCTAACAGGCGCCTGCCCATACCCCATGGGCTCAAAAGGAATAGAACCAGGTTCTGATCTCAGACACCTAGATCCCACTTGTTCCTGAAGTGGGAAGCACAGCAAGTAGGGGATAAAGAATGAAATGACCGACATCCTCACACTGACCCAAGAAGTGTATAAGGGATGGAGGAAGATCATCTTTTGCTGACCCCATCCTGTCCCTCCCTAATGGCCCAGTGTAACCTACTGGGTTGCTGCTGGTCTCCCAACTGTGTTCTGAAGATCCCAGGTCCAGGACCCTCTTCTGTGCACCAACTCTCCATTGGGCCTTGGTTATCCAATGTTGGACTCTGGAAAAATGGTTGTTGGAAGTCCAGCAGCCCCATACCAGGACTGCCAAGAGAAGACCAAGCTCTCACCAAATTTCTGTATATAATCTCACCCCTACCCCAAGGCTATCTTTAAGTATTCACCTTGGAGATGCCTCTCCATCCCTTTCTGCTCTCCTGGAGCCCCTAACCCCATTCACTTCACTCTCACATGACTGCAATAGCAAAGGGAAAGCTGAAATCTAGACTGGGTCCACACCAGAACCCATGTTCTTCATTAACCATGCCTCCCATGAGCCATCAAAAGAGCACCACCTGAGAGCTGCCAGCATCCCACTCTAGGCACCTTATTCCTTCCTATCTTGGAAAAAGAGGACAGGGACACACACACACACACACCAATCTTTCCCCAAAAAGTATTTGGTCCAAGTGCATAAGCCACCGTAGAAGATACCATAAGGAATTCAGGGTAGATCAGCGTGAACTGGAATTGCTCAAAGACTTCTCAGTCTTGTCCCAAATATAAGTCATAGTACATGTCAAATGACCACAGAGAGTTCAACTAAAGCACTAATGGCATTCAAAAGATGAAGAGGTGATTTTTCACCAATGAGATCAAAGTGTCCAGAGGGGGCAGTCTCCAAGGCAGGATCCTCGTGGGTGAGTAGAGCTTGCACTGACACGTTTCTTTCAGGCATTGTGTGGCCCCGGCAAAGGATATTGGTGAAACAAAGACAGGGTGGTAAGAAAAAAAGCAGGATAACACACACAGATGCCTGAGGCTCTTGGCCCATGATGAGCAATGAAAGATACTTGACAAGCACTGAGCAGTTTGTCACTAGGCCTACAACCTGCCCTGTGAACTTAGATAACGCAGACCATCACTCCAAAGTTCAACTTTATCATTCATAAAGTAATAGTGATAACTCATACTTCCTAATGATTAAACCCTTACCCCAGTGTCCTTTAGCTGCGGTTGGTAAAGGCCGGGCAGCTCAATCCACAGGAAGGGGTTAGGAATCTGGCCTTGCTGTTCGTTATTCTCCATGGTACAAAACCCAAGTAATCATTCTAAGATGCAGTTATGAGCATAGCAGTCCAATCTTTAAAGTACCCAATGGATCTTTGCAGTCTCAGCAGCTAAGCCTTCATGTCCTAGCTCTAGGCTTTTTCTAATCTTGTTCTTCCTCATTCTCCAGAAACCACACAGTGGCTCACAAACATCTATAATGAGATCTGATGCCCTCTTCTGTCATTCAGGCACGCATGCAAATAGAGTGCTCACATACATAAATAAATAGATCTGAAAAAGAACAACAACAACAACAACAACAACAAGAAGGAGAGAGAGAAGACTGAGAAGACAGCTCAGTTAGTAAAGGACTTCCATGCAATCATAAGGGATTAAATCCTATCCCCCAAACCTATACAAACCCAGGGACCTATAAAAGCCCATGATTTTATTCCCAGGTAGATCCCTGGGACTTGATGGCCAGCTAGCCTAGCCAAACCATTAAGAGACCAATAAGAAACCTTGTCTCAAAAAATAAAAAGAGAAAAGGAAGAAAGAAAAAGAAAAAAATCAAGATGGGTAGCACCTGAAGAATGACACCTGGGGTTGTCCTATGACCTACACATGCATGCACATGCTTGAACATGCACACATATGCACATACACACACCAGACTGTCATGATTCCTATCTGAAGATCACTTTTCCCTCTTGACACATTAAATTGTCCCAAGTGATGGCAAAAGCCTGAACCACTGATTCCAAAGCAATATTATCTTAGATGTGATTTTCATGTGTTCAATGGAACAGCTCTTGGGTCCTGCCTTGGTGGTCTGCTAAACTGGCTTTTCCTCACATTTTCATCTAGGGTAAGGAAAACCTGTCATCCTCAACCAGTATAGTCCCCTAAACTCTCCAAAAGTGGTTTCACTAGCCTACTAATGAGCCTTTATGCCAGCTCTGGTAACAGAGAGGGCAGCAGCCCAACCCCTTCCTGCAGAGTGAGATGCCAGCTCACCTCCCTGACACCAGTCACAGCCAAGATAGGACTGGGCCTCCTAGCATAGACAAGCCATACTTCTCCTGGAGGAACACAGCTCCTATTGCGTGTCCTAATACACACATACATTCTACTTGTGCCCAGAGATGAGCGCCAAGGACAGCAGGCTTGGGGAAACCAAAGAACAAGTAGGAAAGTGGGCAAAGGCACGTATGGTTCTTCTCTGGGGGCATAGTTCCTCTTGAACAGATATCCCCTCCAATTAGAGAGCCAGGGCCCATTATAGAATGAATCCCATGGCACTCCCAGCCTTTTCTCTTATCTCAATATAATGGCACTAGATTTCAAGCCCAGCCTCTCAACAAATCACCTGGTCTCTGGAACTGCTTTGACTCAAAATGTACCTGCCCAAATTCATGCAGTAGCCCGAGAACACAGGCCTTCAATGGAAAGATACCTCTTCGCTCTACTAAGTAGGAATCAGTTTAATGCTTTGCTCAGTGCAGCCATGTGCAAACTGCTTTATCAGATAGAGCAAGGACAGCAAGAGAAGAAAATGAAGGGCAGTCTCTGGAGAGAACTCTAGCGCCACAGTCCCTGCTGGGATGCAATCCCTGCCCCAGAGCTGCTGGAAGAGGCCTAGATACCAGCATTCTGGGGTTGGGAGTGAGCAGGGATGGAGGAATGGCATGGGGCATGGTCTTACCGTATGAGTCAGTTGCACTGATGTAAGGCTGTAAGGTCTGCTGGGCAGGGCGCGGCTCCTGTCCTCATGTCAGGATCGATTCAACAACCCAGCCAGTGTGGTTGGAGGATGTAGTCTCCCTAGTTCACACATAGCCCCTCCCTGTCTCCGGCCCCTACACACATAGACAGGGGCCGGAGAGACAATGAACTATGCTTAGGGCCCATGAATAGGCCCCTTGTTCAAGAGAATCGGGGCAAGGTCTGGGCAGGACCTGGCAGCCCCAGCCCCTCCTATCTGCTAACTGAAAGCTGGAAACAGAAAAAAAAGGATGGGGGTGGGGGGCAAACTAGTGTTGCCTAGCAACCAGGTCCCTTGTGCCAAAAAATGTGCCTTGTGTATACTAGCACAGTTCCCCCTTCTTGCTGCACTAAAGAGTAATATTAGCATGAGCGGAAAATATGTCTGAGCTCTATGGAAGCTGGCCTTTCCAGCAGTCTCAGGCTGTCACTGTGTTGTGGCTGATAGACAACGATGAGGAATCATTGTTACCTGATTGCTAGGAAGTGAGGCCTCCCCACCCAATTCACCCCTGGGATCCAGTAGCCGTTGTAGATCTCTTGTTTCAAGTTCAAGATAACATCTCGGATCCCAGCCTAGAGTGGACACACCTGGAGCCATGTCACTTCAAAGGGGAAGCAGAGGAGATCCGGGGAAGCAGGGACTAGAGTGGTCTCCTTTCTTCCAGTCTGCCTTTCATGGATCCCTCAGCTGTTCAACAGCACAGGCTTTAGAGTCAACTCTGTCCCGAATACAATTCTCCCACTTGCCCAGTCATCGTCTCTGTGAAAGGAAAGCACTCCCCTCACAGGGGTGAAGTTCAAACCGAATGAGGTGTTGAATATAGAACTCTTTTTCTAGTATCCACCTTAGACTAGTGCCAGAGAACTAGGGGAAGAGTTCTTGGGGTAGAGGACCCAAGGTTAGGGACAACCGCCCTAGAGCACTTTCCCCAATCAACTAAACGAAGGTGAGAAGGAAAGTTCAGGGAGTTAATGAAGCCAGAGTTGAGGGAAAAGACAGTGTGCCTTGCACTAAACTCCCAGTCTGGCTGGCAGACTTAGGAAAGAACCAGACACTGATAACCCTGACCTTCACTGCCACTTGTATTGGCATAGCCATGAAGATACCATTCTGCCCACAGTGATGTGAGCCTGTGTTCCATTTCCTTGGGCTGGCCAAGGTAGTAAAAAATAGCTCAATTTAATTTCTCTTGCTTTTAACTTTACAGCAAGTTAAAGGCTGTTTTGAGTGGCTCAAAACTTAGAATGAGTATCTGAGACAGAAGACATCTACCCATACTCCTTTAAGATTTGTGTATGCATATGTGTCTGTGTAAGTGAATGCTATGTGTGTGCAGGTGCCATTAATGGCCAGAAGAGGGTGTCGGACCCTGTAGAGCTGGACTTACAGGCAGTTGTGAGCCCCACAGTGTGGGTGAGGGAACTGAACTGGAGTCCTCTGCAAGAGCAGGGAGCACTCTGAACTGCCAAGCCATCTCTCCGGCCCCCTAACTGTATTCTTACCTGTGGTTTCCTTTAGACTTTACTAACTTGGGAGGTTATAACGGCTCCACTAATCATATTGACTGTCATCAGTTTCCCCCCTCGCTTTGTGGCTAGCTTATGGCCCCAGCTGCTCTTCTGGTTCTCTTTTTTTCCTAGCCTTTTGAGAGATATAGTTCTCAGATACAGAGTTACCACTCTCTATATAGGCCAGGCTAGTCTTGAACTCACTGAGATCCACCTGCCTCTGCTGCCTGAGTGCTGGGATTAAAGGCATGCACCACCACATCTGGTCTGGTTTGTTTTTTAGCTGAGTAGAGGCAAACAGTTTGAGGATTACTCTCCGTGAGTTCCCTGTTTGACATTGCCTCCTCTCCCAAATCCCTATCCCCTCTCCTATCCCATCATTATTACTGTTGAGCTTCACCCATGCCAACTACACTGTCGCTTCTCATTTCTTTTCCTCGTATACAATGATGAAGACACAGAGATCCTGCATGATTTGTAGACATGGAGGAGAGAACTTAGTGGCCAGAGATGAGGCTCTCTAGCCTAGGCACTGAGGACTCCTAGAGCAGTACTCTTTAGCCTACAAAGTTGACCATCTACTGTATGTTGTGAATGACTCTGGGCTTGGCAGTTAAATAAGTCACAAGCTTATTTATCCTGCCCAAAGGCTAGACTAGGAACCAATAAAAATAACTGTTATTTGTGAAAAGTGAAATTGCAGTGGCTTGAACATATGAGTATAGGAGAGTAGAATAGTTGATTCTTCTGCCCAGAGGACCCAGTGAGGGCTTCTCAAAAGAGAAGAAATTTGAACTGTATCTGCCTCCTAAGTGTTAGGATTACAGGTATTTACCACCATGCCTAAGAACCCTTGGATTCTAATAATGATATTTCAAAGCAATTGCAATAGTCTAATCATTAACCTCAATAAGGAGAATAGATAGAAGTTATTGAAGACTCCAAAATCATGTTTAAAACAATGTGCAGGGCTAGAGAGATGGTTCAGTGGTTAAGAGCCCTGAATGCTCTCCAGAAAACCTGGATTTGGTTCCTAGCACCCACATGACAACTGTCTGCAACTCCAGTTCCAGGGGATTTGGTGCCCTCTTCTGGCCTCTGTGGGCACTGCCCTCATGTGGTACACATACCTGCCGGCAAGACATTCACATAAAATTAAAGAAATAAAAGAAGGTGCAACCAGCTCTTAATCCATTCAGAGATAGATTAGAGTGTGGCAGAAATGATTAGATTACAACCCCCTGTAGAGACAACACACACACACACACACACACACACACACCAGAGGAACAACTTGAAAGGTGAGGTAGGAAAAATAGACAATGAAGGCTGTGGGTGGCAGCCCTGGGTTCAATCATGCTGAGGTATGAGGTGTGAGGTGACTGCACTGGCACCCTGACCCTGGCAACAGTTCATAGTAAGTTTCCTGTACTTGAGTCTAAAGGCTGGCACCACTAACCAGATCCTAGCAGAATGACTCAGCAGCCAAGCTCTGACAAGAAAGGCTCTGGGAAAGTTAATACTTTCAGGATGATGTCATAAGGGGCATCTGGGCTGCCAATGGGACAACAGATGCACACAAAAAAGTAAAGCAGGTCTATTTCTAAACAGAGCAAACTATTTCCACTTAGTCATTTTAGCCCCCATAAAGCAGCATCAGGAATGGAGGAAAATAAAGTCATATCATGAACAAGGTATTATTTATCAAATCCAACAAATGTCCTTCCATTGTTCAAGTTATGGGAAGTCTGTCTCTCTGTGTGTCTCTGTGTCTCTGTCTCCCTGTCTCTCTCTTTCTGTGTGTGCATGTATGTGTGTATATGAGAGAGAGAGAGAGAGAGAGAGAGAGAGAGAGAGTGTAGGCCATAGTACAACTTTGTGGAGTTGGTTCTCTTTTTACACCTTTACATGGGTTGATGGTATCAAAATCAGGTCCCCACACTTATATGGCAAGTGCCATTATGAACTGAGCCATTTCATTAACAGGTCTGGTGGATCACAGGTGGCTCTCTGATCCCAGGAAGGCTGAGACAGGCCAGCCTGCGCTACAGCATGAGTTTAAGGCCAGCCTAAGCAACTTAGAGAGATCCTATCCCAAAATAAAATGTGAAAACAGACAGCTTAATGATCAGGTGTTTGCCTAGCATGCATAAAACCTTGGGTTTGGTCACAGCACCAAAAGAATCAAATAAATAAACAAGACAGTTGTACTTCCTCATCAGCTGCTGCATGACCCAGTGCCACCTCGGAGGATACTGGAGTAAGACATGGTGTCTGCAGCATCCTGCAGAGGCAGGTACAAAGATACTTGTGCTTTAAGGCAGGCTGTGTTGCAGTAAGAAACATCTAACCATCCTTAATGTCCTATACGATAAAGCTTTATTTCCTGCTAATGCTTCGGTTCCACAGGGAGCCAAATCACAGCATTCTTTCCACATATCCTCAGTTAAGGCTTCAAGCTGAGCTAGGGGGCAGGCTCAGTAAGAAAAGCGCTTGCTGTACAAGCATGAAAGCCTGAGTTTGGATTCCCCAGCACCCACGTGGCTCCTTACTGCAATCCCAGTCAGCCTAGCTGAAGCAGGGAGCTTCAGGTTCAGTGAGAGACCCTGTGTCAAAAAATAAAGTGCAGAGCGATAGAGTAAAACATCTAATGTCAACCCCCCTGGCCTCCACATGTGCGTGTCGATATGCATACGTGCACAACACATGAACACTCACGAGCGCTCCTGTGTGCGCATGTGCGCAAGTTCAAGCCAAAACAGTAGTCTCCACCTGAAACGTTCTTTGTCCCAAAGATGACAGAGTAAATTCCAGAAGGCCCTGGGTTGCCAGTGCTTACTCTGACTACTCGCTACTCATTGTTCCAGTATTGCATGGCTCCACCAACCATAAGGAAACCATAAAAAATGCAATCCTACAGTCTGCTAAGAAACACTGATAACTACCATGGTGGATATTCAATAAATGTTTATTAAAAAAAAAAAAAAAACAGGGGCTGGAGAGATGGCTCAGTAGTTAAGAGAACTAACTCCTCTTCCAAAGGACCTGGGTTCAATTCCCAGCACCCACATGGCAGCTCACAACTGTCTATAAGCCAAATTCCAAGCGATCTGACACCTTCACAGTAATGCACATAAAACAAAAATTAAATTATATTAAAAAACAGATGGGTAGAAATTCCCTTGCAAGAGGGGGTCATTAAATCCACATTTTCCCTCCAATGACAATTTCTTCTTCTTAGGATGAGAAAGTAGTAAATAAAAACAAGACCAAAAAGACTGACTTCTTTGTTACCCAGTTGGCACATCAGTTAAGGATTCTCACTGGCCCTTGTCCCTCTCTCCAGGAGCCCCTTGTCTGGAGGAAGGCAGCCCAGAGGGCTTGAGTTCCCTTGCGTTATATTCTACTTGGAGTCAGTGGTGTGGCTGGGCATTGCTGAGGATGATAGGGAGTCATGACTGCTGAGACCAGCTCTGATCTCTTACAGAGCAGATTCCACATCAACTGAGCTTTGTCTCTCTCATTCCCATTCTCTGCC